AAATTTACATCAACCCCACCTCATATGTGAGTGAGCATTGTGAACTTGACAATTTACGTCTGAATACTATTTTCGTAACTACACGTCTCCAACAAACTCCCCCACCATTGTAATATATTTTCAACAAAGTGCAACATATTTTTAATTTGTTTGCCATTAAAAAATTCCAAAAAAAAAAACTGTTTAAATTGTAATGAACCACTCACCGGCATACTTTGCCAAGAAATAAAATTTTACATTTATTTCCAAAATGAAAAATTCAATTTGGTCGTTTGCCAAATTCTTCAGTTGTTTTTGCTATAGCTGATTTTATTAATTTCTTGGTTTAAATTGTTTACAATGAGATAATTGTGTGAAATATTTGGCTATTGCCTCCTCAATAAGATGAGGGTACGATTTACTGGTCAATCACATTATTACACTAGCATGTAATTATTTAAATATCAAACAAGTGGAAAAGCGTTAAGTTCGGCCGGTCCGAACTTTGGATACCCTCCACCATAGATATACTGACAGGTACTTGTAATGAAAATATAGGGAGCATACCAAAACGTGGACCATAATAAAAATTTCAGAAATGAAGGTGTATACAATTTAACACGGTGAAAATGTGCCTCATCGAAATATTGGTTCTACACCCCATGTTTCTTTGGACCAAATCCGTTTCATCTTATTATTTCTTCCAAACTTACCTCAAATTCAAAGATGGGGAATATCGGTCCACTCCTTCTGGAACCTCCACACAGGGGCTAGGTCTGAATGCGGATATAGTTCATTATCGAACCTTACGTTATAATTTTTTATCTCGCTATCCTCCGCAGAAGAAATGATTACAACAGAGTCTTAGAACCAAACTCAAAACGCGGAACAAATCAGATACCTATTTTAATATAAAAAAGGGGGTATGGGGACTACCCCAAAAAGGAACCCAATGTAGCAAATTTCAGCGAATTCGGTTAAAAAACGCGCTCAAGAACCCCAAAATAACGAAAATTGAGATGTACCGTTATATGGGGGTACCAGAAAAAATTGACATATATTTATCATTTTTAGTAGGGAGATTTGGTACCCAATAAGAAATCAAAGTACCAAATTACAGCCAGTTCGGTGGAAAAATGCGACCAAAACACCAAAAATACCGAAAAAATGAACCGATGTTTATAATTTTTATTGGGGAGATTTGCTACCCAATAGGAACTCAAAGCACCAAATTTCAGCGAATTGGGTTGAAAAACACGCTCAAGAACCTCAAAATACCGAAAATTGGGGGTACCCTTATATGGGAGCTGTGCCTAAACGTGGAACGATATAGCCCATCTTCGAACTTGTCCTGCCTGCACACAAAAGACGACTCTATGCAAAATTTTGGGGCTCTATCTCAATTCATTTAGGCGCTAGAGTGATTACAACAGACAGACGGACATGCTTAAATCGTCTTAGAATTTTACGCTGATCAAGAATATATATATATATATACTTTATATGGTTGGTAATGATTACTTCGATGAGTTACAAACGGAAAAACAAAACTAATACACCCTCCATACTATGGTGGAGGGTATAAAAATAGCTGAATATATGATAGACGACTACATGATACCCTTCGCCTTTTTCTGTATATTCTACACCTGTACCACGATTTTTAATATGTGATCTTTAATTATAACTGAACCGACTAACATGAATTCATACCCATGCCTTTCTGCTTTCTGCAATATAAACTCAACTGGTAACCCACTTGACATAGGCGGCCAAAATATTTTATATATCAAAGCGAATATTGGTATGGAAATTGGTCATATATTTGATATAGCGCCCATATGACCGTTCCTCCCGATTTTTTGTCTATTGTGTTTTTTCGACCTTATTGTTGATATTCCAGTAATGAGATTATTTGAGCTTGAGGACCTCAAGCTCAAATAATCTCATTACTGGAATATCCATGCAAAACTATATAGATGTAGATCCACGTTTTCTGGTAGCCCCCGTACAAAAGGACCCCTATTTTGAGTATTTATCCCAAAATTGGGTATAACTTCATTAACTGTCGAACCACTTGATATAGGCTGCGAACATTTGGCTCAGATAGTTTTTATATCAATAGAACTACTGGTATGGGAAATGCAGTCTATGGGTTCAAGTTTTGATATAGCCCTCATATAACCGTACCTCCCGATTTAAGGTAGTTTTTGTCTATTAGACACATTTTAAGATCAAATTGGCTGTAATTTAGCACAGAGAGTTCTCTATGAGTATCAAATATCCATGAAAAACTATATAGATGTAGAACCACGTTTTCTGGTAGCCCCCATACAAAGTTATCCCTATTTTGAGTATTTACCCATAAATTAATTAACTGGCGAACCACTTGACGTAGGCGGCCAAAATTTGGCTCAAATTTTGTATCAATACAAATACTGGTGAGGGGAATGGAGTCTCTAGGCCCAAGTTTTGATATAGCCCCCATATAACCGTACCTCCCGATTTAAGGTAGGTTTTGTCTATTAGACACATTTTAAGATCAAATTGACTGTAATTTAGCACAGAGAGTTCTCTATGGGTACCAAATATTCATGCAAAAATTTATAGGGTTAGGTCCACGTTTTCTGGTAGCCCATATACAAAGTTACCCCTTTTTTTGAGTATTTACCATTAACTGGCGAGCCACTTGACAAAGGCGACCAAAATTTGGCTCACATCTTTTTAATGTCAAAGCTGATATTGGAATGGAAAATTGGATCTCTGGGTCCAATTTTTGATATAGCCCCTATTTAATCGGACCTCCCGATCTAAGGGAACCCCCCATTCACAATTTTAAATTTCCTCTTAAATTATTTTTTTGTAGGTTCACATTTTCTGGTAGCCCCTATACAACGATCATTCTAAACTTAATTCAGTACGCTATGCAAAATTCCGTGCAAATGGAAAGATATATAGTGGCTTTGGTACACTATTTACATAAAATCCGACTACTATATATATATATATATATATATATGAGAGCTATATATAATCTGAATCGATTTTCACGAAATTTAGCACACATTATTATACAGCCAATTCAGAATGCTATGGCACGTTTCGAAAGATATATAGCGGCTTTGTTGGACCATTTACATTAAATCAGACAAAAATATATATGGGAGCTATATCTAAATCGGAACCCAATTTCAACAGGGTTCGTCCTTGGGCCAAATAAATAAACTGTGCTAAATTTCATCCAATTGGGATTATTGTTCACAATTTAACATGAAGAGACTGCATAAATCGACTCAGAACGTGATTCTATGCATATTCTCAAAATGAACCCTGAATGAATCCTTTTGCCTGTTACAAACATATGCACAAAGACATAAAACCTTGTACCGCTGTGTGTTGAAGGATGTAAAAAATTTAAATACGATATGCAAAATTTCGTCTCAATCGACCAACTTTGTTTTTTTTTTCACCACTGGAAATAATACAAAATTATATACACGAGCTGCAACGGAAACTAAACCGTTTCCAACTAAACAACCAAAGCAGAGCAGTATAGTCGGACGGGCATTTCTTATCTTATCCTGGCATCTCTTCGATGTACGTTTTCCTAGAGTAAACAAAAGTCTTGGTTCTTTTGAACCGATAACTATTGACCGATCATTTTCTAAACAGCCAGTCTAATTAGTTGGTCAGAACCCCTTCCCCGTGTAAAATTTTAGATATTCGGCTTAGAACAGAGGCTTCTAGAGCAACAAGAAAACCAAACAAAAATAAAGTTTTCAGTTCCATTTCATGCCCTAAATATCATCTGATCGTCACCGATAATTCATGCACATTTTCATAGCGATCATCGCAACATTTCCTCCATCTAGTGTGGTACTGGTAATACTAATCAATATCGGAATATATAGACCCACGTCTTCTTCCACATCCGGCATTCCAATATAATTGGAAAATATGGGTTCATTTGACCCGCTATATATTGTCCGATTATCAAGGAAAGAGTCATACTTGTTCCTTGCTTTCTCGGTTTAAAATCTCTCTATTTAAAATTTCGTGATGTTCGGGTCATAATTGTGGCCTCTAGAGCGATCAGAAAAAAGACAACAATAAAGTTTTTGGTCTATTACATACCTAAAATATTATCCGATTGCATATTACAATAGGGGTCTTCATTGGCCGGAAACAGGCATACATGCAAATTTTCCTGACAATTGGTCCAAAACCATGGTCTGTATCGTGTTTACAAATTATAATGAACAGACGGGCGAATACACATGCCAAGATCGACTAAGACAGTCAAGATATGAGGATCGGTATACTAAAAGGTGTGTCTAGACTCTCTTTAGGCCACACAAAGCTATGATACCCTTACAACGTAGTTGTGTAGGGTATAATTAACAATAGTATTCTACACTTAATTCAATATGCTGTGCAAAATTTCGAGTCGAACGAGCATATATATGGAAGCTATATCTAACCGATATCTACCGATAATTTATGAATGAATTGTGTTCTCGCGAATGGACTTAAATTTCAGTCTGCCTTTGAAATTACGGTACCAATCTCAATGCTTAGCCATGTTGTATTTAAGATTGAGCTTTAGTTTTACTCCTAGCATGTTTGGTTGTATTGGATTATTTTATAGGGTATTGCCGTATTTTACAACCCAAGGGGCTGTTATTTGGCATTCCGGGTCCTTGGAGGGTGTGAAATATGTTTGTATAGTTTGAAAGTTTTAGCTGTATTTCCCCACCTTAGTATATGTAATATGACATTCTTCTTTTGAAGTATAAACCGGATTTTCCGACGGCACCTAAAATTCTTAATGGATTTGCTGGCATTATACTCTGCTAATAAAACATTCATACAAATTCTGATCCGAAATTAATCAAATCTGTAATTAATTCGAAGATCTTATACATATTCTATTCTTATTTCATATATATAATACTCTTTATTTTTCTTAAATTACAATAGAAAATACAATATTTATTAATAATTCAAATTTTTCTTTTTAGGGTTCTGCCGACTCCAATTACTCACAACCGTCATCCGATCTGTCGCTAGACGAGGAAAAGGAATCGCTTCGGCGAGCTAAGGAAAGTCAGGCCCAAAGCCAGTTGGATAAAGCTAGAGTATGTAGTATAAATTAGGCGGCTAGTACCAATTGCGTAACAATAATAATAATGCTTGATAACCAATAACCTCTCCATAATCTCTTTATCCTTATCTTAATCCCGATAATTATAATCAAACAAAAATCTAGAGTAAACCTGTTGCGTTCGCTGTGCGAACAAATGTTGCCTATGATGCCAGCATCGATGACGATTCACCCGTACAGGGTGGTGCTGTTTCCTTTGACGTTAGGGAATTTCTACACATCAAAGAAAAATATGATCATAACTGGTGGATTGGTCGCCTGGTCAAAGAAGGCTGTGATGTGGGATTCATACCCAGCCCCGTTAAGCTAGACCATATACGTTTGCAGGTAGGTTAATGACACTGGGTGTGTGCAGTCAAGTGCACATTTAAGTTCAAATCAAAACAACCCGATGTATCTTCGGTGAAACTAACCTACCTGCAAAATTTCGACCTGTTGAATTGAAGGGTATAAACCAGTTTTCTTAAAGAAACGATTATTGTGAAAAACAAAATTGCACCATCCTTAAAAAAGTTTGCTGATAAATATGTAAAGGAAAATGGAAAGGAAATATAGGAATCGCGATTTAGTAACTATATATCACGTGTGATTGGAACCCGTAAATAAATTTTGTTTTGGTAGAATGGGGGTTTTTCTTTTTATTAGTGTAAAAAATACATCCGTCGTCTATAGTAGCAATGAAGTGATGGTTTCACCAGCTGTTTGGCATAATGGCTTCTTTTGTACGCATGAGTACTCTGAAAAGTTTGGCGAACAGATCCCAAACGCATCCGCCGATATATGTACGCTTTCGATAGTAAGATGCCAAAACATCTTTAGTATGCCAGCTACTATGCCAATTATCCACAATGCTTTAATTATACGCTTGAACATAGCCCTATACAAATATTTTCCCATAGCTGATTAGTGCTAAAACTTATTAATATATGCATTTATTTTCCAAATGATTGAGTTCTATGAATTTAAGAAAAACATGGAACTCAGTTACTGTACCATCTCGAAAATTCCCTTAAATATTATTTTATATTCTAAGTACATACATGGGATGCTAGTATGCTATATTTTATTAAGATATTGTGTTATATTTCAATTGGGATTGAGGATCATATATATTTGTAAGTATTTACACCTATATGGATATATTATTTACTATATTTTGGTACTATCAGAGAAGAAATTAAAAATAATCTTATTATCTCAATAAATATATTTAACTATGGTATGCTGAGGATAAAGGGTAGGTCCTTTCCTATATAAGGAAGGGTACCAACGGAAACGCCGCACCGGAAATCTCCAAGAAGACCTCTAATAACTTCATTATCCGAATCGTCGTTGTCGGAGTACGAGACGACCCCACAGTTTCCGCAGCCCACATATTATTGACGTCTCACAAATGTATCGTTCCTGTAATTTTTCTACCAAGGGGACCACAACAGAATCAGCGCAACATACACTAGTCAATTATGGAATAGAATGTTAATATATGCATACCGTTCAGAAATAGCTTTCTACAACTTCATTTCAGAATTTCCTCATTCCGTCCCTAATGACCAGTGAGTTGCAGTTGAGTAAATCGATAATGAGAGTACCTTAACAAGGATAGGTATTCCAATAAATATCATATATTGCAGCTAAACAATATATGATGTGCGTTATCCAGAACAGGAGCAGTTTTCGCTTTGACGGATGTACTCAAGAAGTACAAGGCCAATATTTTTGCCTTATAGGATATGCCATGAAAAGGGACAGGCGTAAGTAAATCAAATGATTACACTCAGTATTGTCGCTGGCATGAAACGAGACATGAATTTGGCTGCGGATTTATGGTAAACAGGAAAATAAAAGACCTAGTATCCACATTCACTCCAGTGGATGAGCGAACAACTATAATCCGTATAAAAACGAAGTCATTGAGAAGTTCAAAAAACAAAATTGAGCAGTCCAAAGACATATTTTACAAGCGCCTAAAAATATATATAGGAATTATTTTTGGGCCCAACGTGGGAAAATTCAGTCTCCATGAAAAATCATCCGACAATAGCATGAGGTTACTTCACGACAGCAACAAATGGTAGTTATCAGCATCAAATTCAAGCATCTCCATATACACAAGGCCACTTGGACTTCGCCTGATCAAACAACGAGAAATCAAATTGATTATGTTGTGATAGACGGAAGGCGTTCATACAGTGTTTGAGACATACGATCGATCCGAGGATCGAATATCGATTCGCACCATTAGCATGTAGCATCCAAGGTTCATACTCGTCTTAATGTAGCAACAAAGGTGCGATCTAATGTAAAACCGAAAATCGACATCGAAAAGCTGCAAACACTCAAGTTACCTACTTTCTAGTCGAAAGCGCTCCTCGTCCCGATAATAATTTAGAAACACAGTGGGCAAATAATTGCTCACTCCCTACAAACTGCAGCAATAGCAACAAAGACCACCATCAAGAAACCCATGGTACGATCATCAGAGATGAAATGTATTAAAAAAAAAAACCAGTAAGAAAAGTAGTAAAGTCGGACGGGGCCGACTATATGAAACCCTTCACCACTTTGGGTATATTCAACAGGTGAATCTATACATCAAATCGGACGAAAATTTATATTGGAGCTATATCTGCACCGATTTTCAGGAAACTTAAAGTACATCAATCTAGACCCAATTCAGTACGCTGGACCAAATTTCGTGCAAATCGAAGGATTTATAGGGACCGTTTATATTAAATCGGACGAAAATATATATGGGAGCTATATCTAAATCTGAACCGATTTTTTCCAATTTCAATAGGGTTCGTCCTTGGGCCAAATAAGTGACCTGTGACAAATATAATCCAATTCGGATCATAAATGCGACAGGCGGACGGACATGGATAAATTGACTCCGAAAGTGATTCTATGTATATTCTCAAAAGGAACCATGTGTCTATCTCGTTACCTTTTGCCTGTTACAAACATATGCACAAATGCATAATACCCCGTACCACAGTGTGGTGAAGGGTATAAAGAACAAGAACAAGAAAAACGTGAGCGTTATTAAATCGAGATGTACAGGAGTCAGAATGAAGTACGGAATGATTACCGACGAGTAAAACACCAAATTGCAGATCTTGGTGCAGGCACAAATGAACCAAAACTTTGGTATTTAATATTAAACTTGATAACCCAAACGCATAGCTCCCGAAGTCTTTAAAGTAGGAGAGGAGTCTGTAAGAGGTATTTCACAGGACGAATTTATTCCTTTCAAGGATAATAAGCATGGATTGTCTAAAATGAAAAGTATTACAACAGCCTTAAAGGCAATATCTTTATATAGGTATCGAGTCCTGAGCAAGACTGACAGTTCATTGATGGAACTTGAGAATAGCACCTTTCGACCGTGTTTGAAGCATAGAATAATCAAATGGAAGTTTGGGCGCCAGCCAACTCTCAGCTCACAACAGATAATTTGTATTAATTATCTTCAAATGGAAACGGCTATCAACAAAGACTATTACGAAACTGATCGGGACCATTATCGATGGTCTATGTAAAAGCTTATCGAAGCCATCAGATAGGGACAAGGTCCAAAAGTCACTTTTTGACAGCTCTTGGGGTGCTAACCTCTTATAAAGCAATATGTTGATCGAAGATAACCTATGCGGTACCGACGCGGCAGTCCACCTCATTTTGACAACATTTATATGAGAAATTGCGGTAGATGATCTCAAAAACCATGTTCCAACGATTTCCGCAATGTTCTAATATATTACAATCCATGAACGACATAGAAATAATTTTGTACAACCATAGCTGGCATATGTTCTGTGTTTTTTAAATATGGGATAGGAATTATATATCCGGGTGTCTGTTCCACAACCATTTTTCACCGTTTATTGAAAACCACATTCAGGTCTTTGGTGAGATACATTTACTGTGTGGGGTGGCTCCATTTCTGCGGATGTTCAGGGCTCAGTCGACTACTGCGATAGAAGTTTTAATGGTGCCTCAAAACACGTCTTTGTCGTCATCGGAATATGTGGCACACAGCAACTTGTACCGTTTTTGCAGTCGGTCTGGTGCTGGAGTATTTCAATGTCCACCATGAGCTATGGTATTGCATACTAGGTAATGACCAGAGGTGTACAACTCTGGCAGATTACGTTTTGTCGGTTAATTAAGATGACCCCACGATAACTAGAGGCGACTGTCGTCAAGACAACAATATCGTGTCAACTGGCGTAATAAACTTTCTATCGGCTCAGACTACCTTACTAGTTTCGTTAATAAACCACATAATTTCATAACCTCTGAACGCCGTACTTTCTTAAATATGGCAAAACTGATTGGCAATGTTTTAGATATATAATAAATCACCGCCCTAGAGAATTGGTACCTGAGATGTATTTCGGGGACGTCACTGCATCACCTAGTTGATGCAGCTCGAATACCCGACGGAAGACCAATTTTCACAAAGAGAACTCACACTGAAGTCGGAACATGCCATATGAGATCATACACTGAGAATGTGACTAGACCATCTGATGCTATGCAGCTTCGAAACCGAAGAAAATAATTTGTTGGCAACTGCCAAAACGTCAATCACATTTAGCGAAATAACGATTACAGATCCGAAAAGGAGTGTAAGTTTTTAACCAGCAGTTTATAGAGCACACCGAGAGTGAAATGTTGAAAATGAGTGTGGAACGTGCTATAAAAGCCCTCCGATGCGCAGGGACACCTCCACAATTTATGAATGATTATGTTACAGATGCGATTCGAAATGGTATGTAATCCAAATAGAGGGACCCAATGGTAACTTAATTGAGTTCCTCTAATGGTACTTCTTAAGAAATTGTTGAACCTGGATATCAGTTATTAGCTGTACTCAATCCGTCGATAGCCGCCCACATTGGTCTGATGCTTTGAAATTGGGTCCCGTTAATAAAGGCAAGCAAGGATGCGTTAAAGTGGGAGTTCTCCAAATAGGGGCTCTTTTCTGGACATTTTTAACCTCCACCGAAACCCAACGGCATGCAGATGTAATGTAGGCGAATAATTGTTCGATCATGACGTCTTGTCCCATTTTCAATTAAACATGTGAAATGTTAATTTCGATATATTTGCCTGGTTTTTTCCATCTAAAGCGTATGACGAAGTCACCTTGTTCACCACGTGGGCTGTCGAAATGAAGGTCAATTGAACATAATTTTTGATGGTGCACAAATTCACTTCACAAGCCAACGCAAAACGTTTGGAGTAAATTTGGACATCTTATTTAAGTCGCCTGCGTTAAACTTAGAACTTTAAAAAAGTCCTCAAATCGTTTGCCGACAGCACTTCGTTTACTGACAAAGAAATTTTATTGACTTCTTACAACGCAATATGTTGGTATTTGGTAAGTTATGTGGCGCTGTTGCGGAATGTAAGCCATACGTAGTGGAAGTGTATTTAAACCTGCTAGAATATCGCACAGAGAATTACGACAGGCTGCCATCTTAAGACACCAGTGGACAATTTAGATGATGAGGTCTAGCACGTTCATTGGCATACCACGATATTGCAAATGTATCGCTTGATTCATTTCTATCACCGGAATCATTATGTAACTTCGGCCAACATGATAATAAATAGGCAGTACCACAGCCAAATAAGCAGTACCACACAGGCACATGTCCTACATGCGGACTAGGACCTCTGCTCAACTGCCTAGCTAAAGCCATTCTATTTACAGGAGGCATGAAGCGAAAGTCTTACACAAAAGGATGTTGTATCAGGCATGCACCTTCTTGTGTGCTATCGCCAGAATCATCCATTGCACATAAGGAGTGACATTTACGATCATCAGAACTAGCAAACAGCAGTGAATGACATTCACACAGAATGTCATAAATAGTGTATACATATGGACTAGGATCTCTGCTCAACTGTATTTCTCAAGATCCACAGATTGTCCGAATCTACAGGACCTCTTGCGCGTTGTAAGCCACACCTTGGCAGACTCAACTCAGTTTGTTCAAATTGGCTGTTACCGCTCAGAATGTTCGACCCATTATGTCGGCGTAGTCGGTTAACATATGCAGTTTGGAGTACATAGTGCCACTTCTGTCCACATTTACCTTGTGCCAGTTAAAGTTATCCTGCGTAACCACATTAATTTTCGACAAATAGGTAAAATGGTTCGATGTGTTTTTCGCGTGTCTTTTCCAGGATTTGGCGCAGTCTGAAAATCTGGTCTATATTGCATTTGCCGGGTCGGAAGCAGCATTAGAAAGATCCAATAATATCATTGACCGTTCGCTCACACAACACGTTGGATAGATTAATTCTCTATAATTGGTACTTATCGTCTGTTTTCCTTTATCGTGCACGGGACACAGGATGCTGACATGATGCTCTTCAACAGATCTTCAACATACTGTTTGTATCTGTCAACAAGTTTCCTTCTTCATCTTGACTAGAGGATGTGCCTGTATGAAAAACTTCAGTTTGGTATTTCCCTCTTTGGTAAAATATACGGACTTCATGCTGACTCATGAACAACTCGATTTGCCCACGTTCGTGTTTTTTCTTGTTCTTTCTTCTTTGGTCTGAAAATACGTTTCTCTTCTCTCCACTCCTTTTCTCTCAATAATTCTCTCTCTAGCATTACGTGTTCCTACTGTCTGCAGTGTTGCCCTATACGCTGCACTTTTCATATCAATAGCATTACGACACTTCTGATCGTACCAGTGGTTTCTTGGTGGTGGTATTTGGTACCCAAGTGTTGTTTTTGCTGCAGTTTGTAGGCAGTGGACAATTCTTTGCCATTGTGTTCCTATATTCATGTCGGGACAAGAAGTGATTTCGCCAAGCAAGTCGATAAGTTGAACGGAGTATGCTTCTGCTGTGTTTGAAGCTTTTGAACGTCGAGTTTCCGTGTTACATTAGTTCGCATCTTTGCTGCTACATTATGCTGCTACAAGCTAATGGTCCGAATCGATATTCGCTCCTCGGATCGATCGTTAGTCTTAAACACTGATAAATGCCTTCCGTCTATCACCACATGATCAATTTGATTTCTCGTTGTTTGGTCGAGAGTAAGAGGGTGCGCCAAAATTCGCTCGCGAATGAATTAAAATACATCCTTTTCGTTTTGTGCTCATTTTACGAATGCATTTATGGCAGGCATGCTCACCCATATACGCTACCGTAACTGAGGGTCGATTGGTAAACACATTTTCTCTTTCTTTCTCTTTACGTCAGTCGTTTTTATTGGTGAATTCTCAGATACGCTCGCACACACTTGCTCTCAATTTAATTTTGCCCAACACTGATTTATGGCGATAAATTCTGTACCAAACGAGCATTCGCCAAAGACTGTTAGCACACACATAACAAACGAGTGAGAGCACACAAAAACGATCGTTCGATTCGTTTGGTGATTGAAATTCATTCTGACATTCTCTCGCGAATGAAAACAAACATTCCCGAATTCTCACGAACAGCAACAAAAAACGTTCGAGAACTCAATAGTTGTTGGACATGTGGTTTGTTATGCCACACACTTTCTGCTACTCACACATTCATTTGTTGTGTGTGTTTACTTTTTATGATATTTTTGTTTGTGGTTGTTTTTAACAGTGCATTCTCGAACATTTGTTTTTTGAATTTTTCAAAAGAATGTTCTTCGGCAACAAATGCTAGCGAACGAACGAATCGACGACGCTTGCAGCGAAATTTTATCGTTCGTGAATTTTTCGTACAATGCGAACATTCGCGAGAGATTGCAAATGCTTGTTCATTCATTGTAAAAGAATGTTCTTCAGCAACAAATGCTAGCGAACGATCGAATCGACGACGCTTGAAGCGAAATTTTATCGTTCGTGAATTTTTCGTACAATGCGAACATTCGCGAGAGATAGCAAATGCTGGTTCATTCATTGTAACTTTATCATTCGTGATAAATTGAAAAATATTCGAATTCTTGTCGTCAGCATTCGTTAGAAAGAGTGTATTTTAATCATTCTCCGCACCCTGTTAATTCAAATGACCTTGTGTATATCGAGATGCTTGAATCTGGTGCTGCTAACTATGATGTTTTTTGTGGCCGCGAAGTCAATCAACCTTATGCCGTTGACGGATGATTTTTCATGGAGGCTGGTTTTTTTCCGACGGTGGACCAAAAATATTTTCCCTTCCGATTTTTGTATTAAAACCTCCTAGCAGAATTTTAATGTCATGGCCAGGGCAGCGGCCATATGCTGTTTCTAGGTCTATTCAACTTTGTCTTCCGTCGGAGAATGGACGCAAATAAGATTGATGTGAAAGAACTTCGGTTTTATGTGGATTTTTGCGATTCGCTCATATACTGGGTATCTATAATTCGGAGCGTAAATGTCTGATTTACTTCCCCCTGTCCCTTTCCATCGCATTTCCTGTAAGGCAATGATGTGGACTTTGTACTTCATGAGTGCATCCGCCAAGGGGAAAATTGCGCGTGTTCTGTAAAAAGTGCACACATTCCAAATGCAGATTCGCAGGTCGTGGTCCTTTATACGTTTGTGTGGTCGTCAACATAAGGGGGGTTTGGCTTTCTTTTTCATTGCATTCTCATAGTAGGAGGTGTTTTCCGAGCGTGGGCAACTAACCCGACGCCTCAACACATGTTTTATTGGTTTTATGGGTAAGCTCCCGGCACATATCAGCTGGGGTTTCTTCACGTATTTCACCTATACATAGATGTCTATGGATGTAAGATGTACGTATGTCTTCACGAGATAGACGATTTTCATTCATATATTGGAATCGCAGTGGATCAACAAAATATATAAGACCAGCGTATCAATACTTCGTAGTACAGAACATTGGTGTTTTTACGATTGATGTCAAAGGAATATTATTTATTGGTCCGCTTTATATAATATGCTTTTATCTTAATATGTATATATTTATCTTAGTATGTATATAAATGTATAATTGAGATAATTCGAATATTTGCCACAAAAAATCGGTATCTCTCGGATAACTGAATTAATATTTAGAGATTTTTTTTAATCAAACACGTGATACATTGTTCCAACTTATATTATAATCAGTTTAATATTTATAAAAATGTATGATACCTATATTTTACAAATCCATAATTTCCAATATTAATATTTAACAGCAAACTTTTTAAAGGAACCTACATTTATAAATTAAATTTAATAAAAACAAACTGGAACTAGTTTAACCAATCAGTTCAGCAGGAAAAAATTAAATACAAAAAAAATTATCACACATTTTGAATGAGAAAAGAGAAAAAAATGGTTTCATCGAAGATACATTTTTTCGTGGTGAAGACACTCTGTGCCATTAACTAAAAATTTATTTCATAAAAAATAATAAAACATTTTTTATATTTTTTTCGGAAATATTTAGAATCAAAACCGACCCACTGGTAGATTGTATGGTGGTCCTAAAGGCTCATCGAGTGGGAACTTAGGCGGTCAAGCAGGTGCGGAGCCATCTCGAGGTAGCACACCCCCTACACCTGGTATGACACACATGTTCATGATGATTTTTTAGTTTGTTTTTTTTTATTATTTTTGGTTTACTTTTTATTTTAATTTTAATTTTTGAGTTCTTTTTTAATTTTGTTTTAATTTATTTTTTATGAATATTTTCTTCTTCTTGAGAAAAAATTAAAAGGAGAATGGAATTAATTTTTTAGTTTTCTATATTTGTTTTTTCTCTTATAAATGTTTGAATTTTTAATGCCAAGCAACAGCAATAACTACAACAAAAAACGTGTATAAAATGGGGTGTAATTTTGAAATTAAAATATCTAATGAGACTATATAATTGAAAATAATTTTTTAGCGGATGGAATCAACTGGAAATTAATCTTGCTTCAATTGGTAACATATACTAACTTCAAATTGAGATAAACTATGGGTATTTAGACTCAATTCGATTCTCTGCGCAAAATTGCGTATCAATCTAATATGAGTAGGGTCTTTGGTACATCATTTACATAAAATCTAAACAAATGATATGTATAGCAAATATATCTATATCATAGGTATCCTGGGTATTTAGTGCACCATTTAGAAGAAATCGGATGTCACTGTATAAATTAAAACCGCCGATAAGTTCGGCTTGCCATATGGCTAATGTGGATATATACACTTTGATACGGCAAAAAAGTGCCTCATTGAAATATTGGTATTAGATCCCATGTTTCTTTGGACCAAATCCGTTTCAGATAATTTTGACTCTATGTACAAATGTCCGTCTGTCTGTCTGGATGGTTGGTGCGCTTGATAACTCTCCGGACTTTGCATATAATAGTAATATTTCTTCCAAACTTAGTTTAAGTTCGAAGTTGGAGAATATCGGTCCACTGGTTCTGCTATTTCCCCAATAAATGGTCAAAATGTTCAATATTTACAAATCCAATATTAGGCGAACGGAACGCCCGATTTACCTAGCCTAGATCAAGTCAGAAGATGGGACCCTTCTCGTACCACAACCGCAAACGGTCAAAATGTCGAATATATATAAAACTAATATCAGGCGAATGGAATGTCTGATTTCAACTAAATTTTGCATAGCCTATTATCCTTACCAAACCTAAATCAAGTCCGAAAATGAGAATCATTGTTCCACTCCTTCTGGTACCTAAATAAATCCAATATCAAGCGAATGGAATGTTCGATTTTAACCAAACTTTTCACAACCCATTGTCTTTATCAAGTCTAGATATGGGACCCCATTAAGGGTGAAATGTTTCAATTTATATAAATTCAATATTAGACCAAATCCGTTTTAGACAATTTGGTCTCTATTTACAAATGTCCGTCCGTCTGTCTCGATGGCTGGTGCGCATGACAACTCTCCAACGGAATAACCTATTTCATCCAGACATTGCATATAATAGTAATATTTCTTCCAAACTTACTTTAAGTTCGAAGTTGGGGAATATGGGTCCACTCCTTCTACTATCTCCCCCAATAAATGACGAAACTTTCCAATATTTAAAAATTCAATATTAGTCGAATGGAAAGTCCTATTTGAAGCAATCTTTGCACAATCTATTATCTCTACCTAGCCTAGGTCAAGTCCGATGATGGGACCAAATGTTCAATATATATAAAACTAATGCCCGATTTCAACTAAATTTTGCACAACCTATTATCCTTTCCAACCGTAAATCAAATCCGGAAATGGAAATCATTGCTCCACTCCATCTTGTTCCTCACTCACAAATACTATAAATTGTCGATGTTAACCAAACTTTTCTCAACGTATTAACTTTATCAAGCCTATATATGGGACTAATTGGTCTACATCTTTTGGTACCTCCCCCATTAATGGTGAAATGTTTCAATGTATACGAAATGCAATATTAGCGAAAGGGGTGTCCAAACTTGTCACAACCTCTTACCTTTACCAAGCTTAGATCAAGTCCCAAGGTGAGGCACGTCGACTTTCTCCTTCTGGTACCTCCTCCAAAAATGATCAATATTTAATAACCATGCAAATAAAATATTAAATTAGATAAAATGAAGTATTGAATTCGGAAAATTAGTTTAGCACCTCAAACATAAAAAAATCTCCATAATTCCAAATATCGTTATATGGGGGACTGATATTGGTAATTATACTCTGCATCAGGGATGGAAAATGCAAAATGTGAAAATGTACCAAAAGAGTACTTTTGTTAATAAAATAGTACTTTTTTCAAGAAAATACAAAAAAAAAACATTTTAATCAGTTTCATAAAGATCGATTTTCAAGATATCACTTAGTGTATCTTTCTGATGGTAATAATATGAGAATTATTGATTCGAAATATGTATGCTATAGACTAATTTTAGTTGCACTACCTCTTTCTCGAAAGCTGAATTTCAGTTCCAAACTGCTCTTGAAATTATTGAAGTAATCACACTACTAGGAATGTTATCAATTTGCCTACCTCAGGACATAGAATAGAGTATGCCAAATTGAGTATGTTTGTAAGATACCATTTAAAAAAATTGGAACTCTGTTTGTAATTTTAATCATAACTGAATAGTTATCATCCGTAAACCTGTTCATTTTTTCAAGAGAAATATTGCAATCAGATCAATATCTTTATCTGCATACTTTTGTCGGTCATATCTATAACAAATTCTAATCCAAAACATATATATATATATATATCATGGTTTAATGTTGAATAAACGAAAAGGTACTGAAAAAAGTTCACCATCTGCTCTGCATACACAAATATCTTGTCTGCAACGCCGCGAAATATTGGTCCTAGACCACTGATCACCACCACACCGCCCGCGGGCGCTTTCTGTGTGCACGCATACAATCATAGTTTTGTTGAATAAACGACAATTCACCACTCTAATTCCACCACCAAGTGGTTGCATGTTAGTAAACAACGTCGCAACCAACTAGTCTCGTATGAGCAATTGATGAAGGAGGTTGTGCTGTCACTTGTTTCTTAAATAAGCATGATCATAGACCGGACATTTTATTCAATTGGTTATCCAAAGGGAGTTTTTGGCTTTTAAATTGAATTATACTTAAAACTTTACAGGGTCTATATATTTTCCATAAATGGTCAAGGACTACCACTGTAATTTTCGGTAATGTTCTGATGATACTTAGGGAATGAAATGGATTAAAAGCTTTTATTTAGTCTGGTCAGTCTAGAGGCCAAAATATTATATATATCCGCAAATGGTTATTGCGAACTCTGTGGTGATTTTTACACACAAATAAACATTAAAATTGAATTGTATATAGGGGAATATGTAGAGATGTTAAATGTGAAAGACCAATTTTATACACACTCCACGTTATGGTATAGGGTACATAAATTCATGATACTACGGGGACATCGTAAAATATAACAAAGCTTCATTCATTTCAATAAATACCATATATTACCTTATATATAATCCTGAATGCCAGAATATTTCAGCTTATGAAAATTCGTCTGACCACTTTGGATATACACAAAAGCTCCTCCAGAAGATAGAATAAATGTATCATCTTTGGGGTACATGAAATCGGACATTTGTATAAACTCAAAACAAAATTATGTATAAAAGCTATATGTAAATCTCGCTTTAAAAAAAGGATGACTTGAATATCTGGCTTTGCCGACTATATTATAAACTACAACATTAAACACGGAATAATTGGTTTCCTTTCTTTTATGAAAGTACTTAGCTCCACCGCCACGTCAAGGCTTATTCCTTGGAGGAGTAAAACAGTCGAATAATAAAACACTACTAAAGTAGCGGCCATTCAACATGTTTCAGTTGTTAATATAGCCATCATGTAATGATGGTGGAAATAACATATTTAATATATCTTCATTGTCTGACTAAATTTTTAACAGGTGTTAAGAATTGGAGACAAAAAAATGGAATAATTAGTTTCCCTTCTAGTTTGAAAGTACTTAGCTCCACCGCCACGTCAAGGCTTATTCCAAGGAGGAGTAAACAGTCGAATGATATAAAGCTACTACGCAGAATAGCTTATCCTTCGACATGTTTTGGTTTTATTTTTACTTGTAATATAATTGCAAGAAAAACAATCAATTCAAGCAAATAGGATTGTCTTAAAACTGTTAACATAAGTTAGCAATTTAAAACACTTTTGATATGTATTCATTTTGATATACAAATAATATATCAAATGTACAATTGCATTTTATTTCTTGCTAAAATCATGTATTATAAACTAAGAATTTGTTACAGGTTTATTTAATATGTGAATACATATCACGTCATGGCATTTACTTAACTAAAAATTAATACAATAAGAGAAAATATTACAATTCAATTGGATATGTTAACACATATCGTGTCATGGTAACTATGTACAGTTTCGTATGTTATAGCATTTATTATGCTATCGTCAATATTACTGAAACACCAATCAATTTGTGTTAAACCTTTCGTTGTTGGTGTATTCAGAATAGAAAGAAGGTTGTTATTGTTTAGGAGTATTTCAGTTTCCGATTTTGTTCGTTGTCGGCATATATTGAAATCTCCTAATATAACAACCTTTTGAGAGTTTGTATTTATGCAGTTCTCCAAAACATAGTGTAGTTCATGATGAAGAGAATGCACCCCATAATTACTGTTTCGATATAAGACCATTATGTGAATATCTCTAATTTGAAACACCAGGAATTCAAATGTTTTATTATGTACATGGACCTTTTTTTGGTATTTATACTGAGTAAATTCTGAGATTTCATTTTTCACAAAAACAATTAAGCCCCGTTTACATCTTCGACTGCTTTGGTCCGTTGAATCCAGTCTCATTCTTGGCAATACTGTGAACCCTGGAATTTCATAGTTTTCATTATGCAGCGTCCAAGTTTCAACAAAACATAGTACGTCAGCCTTTAACATTACCGAATCATTCCGAATGTCTTCAATATGAGCATGAAGGCTTTGAACATTATGGTATACAATTTTCAAAGCAGTAATCTCATGCATAAACTCGTAATGGGTTTTAAGACACTTGTTCGTTCGTAAGTTTGTCATTTCCAATTGTACATTATCATTTTC